AGATAGACGTGGCCTGTACACACAAAGATTCCCTGGCTGCCAGTTGGAGAAAAGCAAATAAAAATAGCGAGATATCATTTTGCCTAGCAAATTGTCAAAAAATGTTCGTGCTTCGTGATATCCCCCATTGGTCTGGGTCTGGGGAAATGGGCAGGTTGGAGATGGTAGATTAGCATACCCTTTTACGAGGGCAGCTGAACTCAGGAACAGCCATAGTGTGCGGGAAAAGATGGAGGTGCAGCAATATAGAGTATGAAGGTATTCCAGAGCCTGAAAGCAAGTTACAGAAGGTATTGACAGTATGATTTAATTTTCACAACAGCATAATTTATGTATAATATATGTATGATGTAAAGACCCAAGAATGTCTTGTTTGCTCAAGTGAGGAAAAAAAAAGACTGGAGAGCATGTTACCAAGCTGGTAACAGTGGTTGCCTCTTGAGAGTAGGGAAGAGGGAAACTAGCTTTTTACTTCATATAATATAATGAGTGTTGGTATAATTCTACAAATGTATTTGTTCAATCAAATGGGAAAGTAGTGACCCACCCACATGCAGCCCTGGGCAGGGAGGGGTCATCCCAGCAGAAGTCGGGAGTTGGGGGCAGTCTTAACAGTGAGATTGGACATAATCCGTGAGGCAGAAGTGTAGCTCTAGGAAGAGATGGATCCCAGGCAAGGGGGCTACGCATGGGGAGTGGAGGCCAGAACAGTTGTGCCTGTACTTTAGAGGCTAGAGGCGGCCAACAAGGGTGGAAAGCCTGTTTAGCAGTATTTGAGGGGCACAGTTTCTCTTGCTACTAACGACAGATGGCTCTTTAGTTCTTGAGAGAGTTATGTTTTCCATGCGTTCCTTTTTGTTTAGTTTAAATACATTTTTCTTCTTTGGAAAATAGAGTGTCTTTCCCCATAAAGTGATTACTCATAATCACTCCAGTCAGGGATATGCTTCATATATTGAAAATTGAACATTTTTAAGACCATACATTCTCTCAACATCTTGGAAGGGATTTGGAAAACAGTGTAACTGTGCTTATTGCTCAGAAGAAAAGTTGGTTATAGAACTGGGAAATTCTGATTGTTCCTGTTGAAATCTGCCTTTCTTATGGAAGAGAGAAACACAATATAAAGGGTAGCATGTTTGTGATAACCTCCTTACATGTTTCCTACTAACTAGAATACAATTGGACAAAAACCAGTATACATATTTTATAGCCATTTTATCAGATATAATTGTTCTATAATAATATTGCTGGTACATCTTCCTGTCATGTTATAAAGTCTACTGGGTTGAATTCCAAATGTCTTTTAAAGCTGAAGGCATGATTTGGCAAAGAAATACATGGGAATGGGGTTCCCAGCCAGGCTACCAAAGCTATTTGCACATGTGTGTTCAATTATCATATTAGTCTGATAGTCCCCTCTGTTTCTAATTAAGATAATCCTGAAGATGAATTAGAATATAGAAAAATCATGTGGAGTCTCTCTGAAGCCTCAGCTTAAAAAAAAAAAGAAAAGAAAAATCATGTAATGTATACTTAAGTGTTAGGAAAAAATGCTTTCCCCTGAGTTTGTTTTTTTAAAGCCTCAATTTTGGTATAAATGATTTTTTTTTTTTTTTTTTTTTGAGACAGAGTCTCGCTTTGTTGCACAGCCTAGAGTGAGTGCCGGGGCGTCAGCCTAGCTCACAGCAACCTCAAACTCCTGGGCTCAAGCAATCCTTCTGCCTCAGCCTCCCGAGTAGCTGGGACTACAGGCATGTGCCACCACGCCCGGCTAATTTTTTTTTATATATATATATTAGTTGGCCAATTAATTTCTTTCTATTTATAGTAGAGACGGGGTCTCGCTCTTGCTCAGGCTGGTTTCGAACTCCTGACCTCGAGCAATCCGCCCGCCTCGGCCTCCCAGAGTGCTAGGATTACAGGCTTGAGCCACCGCGCCCGGCCGGTATAAATGATTTTTGTCTTTTGCTTTTTTTTTGCCCTCTGTGTTACAAGATTGTTTATTATACAGACAAATTAATGTCTATTTTCTTATGCAAGGTGTCCCAGAATTCTCCATAGAAATGAAAAATTTTATAAACTTTTGTAATGACTATTTAGTAAATCAAGGAACATTTATCTATAATTTACCATTTTCCCTATATATGGTGACCGTTAGGGTACCCTGTATTATTACTTCACCACCACTAAGCCTTAAGAAGTTGGTGTTCACATTGGGCAAAAGGCCCAGCCGGAGGTGGTTTTCCCAAGGTTGTGTGGCTGATGAACTTTCCTCCTGGATCCCTCAGGAAGCTGAGCACCACTTTCTTGCTAATGGAGCTGTGAGGAGCTGTGTCTCTGAAGTAGCTCGAAGCCACCTGACTATGCTACCCTACACTTTGCTTGTGAGACAGTCTTCTACGGTATATTTCGTGTAGTTCATACATGTGTGTTTATTCTTCACATTGAAAACACAGTAACTTTTGCAAGCTTGCTCTTGACACCACAAATTTTATTTTTCCATAAATTTTTGCCATGCCTAATGATTTTTTGTGTTCTTTTACTCCTAGTATTATTTACATTTTTCTATTTTGTGTTCATTTTACTGTTCTTATAAAAAAAAAATAAGGGCAAAGTACCACATAAATACTGCTGTTTGGATGAAAGCACCAATGTTCCAGCCCACTGTGAACTGCTGGCAGATTGTGAATATTATCAAATAAATAATTGATTAGTAAGGCAAATGGGGAGGTTGGGCAAGAGGACTTGGAGGAAATGACTTCCTCATTTTTCAAAGCATGGAGTCATTGAAATAATGTGAGCCTAAAAAGGTGTCCAATCTCTTAACGTTTTTCATAATTTTTTCCTTAATATTAAGTTAACCTCTTGAAAACTCTGGAGTTAGGCCGGGCACAGTGGCTTAGGTCTGTAATCCCAGTGCATTGATAGGCCAAGTTGGGAGGAACTCCTGAGCCTAGGAGTTTGAGGCTGAAGTGAGCTGTGATCAGGACACTGTAATCCAGCCTGTGCAACAGAGTAGGACCATGTCTCTGTCCCCAAAACAAAGAAAACCCCGGATTTAAACCATTACACCAAATTCTCTTTAGTTTCTTTTTATTTTGGTTAATCTTAGTGTTTTATATTTAGAAAAAGATCATGTCATGTAACTAAACCGGAACAAAATAACAGATCAGTAGAAGATATGGAACCGTTAAATACTCTCAGACATTATACGAATGTAATATTGAGTAAGGTCAACATTTCAAATAGGGAAGAAGGTTTTTTGTTGCTTTATTTTAGCATAGCCTAAGACAGCATTCAGAAAAGATTATTTGCTAAATGTTGAGAAGTCATTTTGCAAATGGGACAAACATTTGGAATATAGGCTCAGTCAACACAAAACTGGGAGAGTAATTTTTGAAATGACAACCCTCTTGGCCCATAGTTCACACCTGTAATAGCACTTTGGGATGCCAATGTGGGAAGATTGCTTCAGGGATGCCAGGAGTTCAAGACAATCCTGACAACAGCAAAACCTGTCAAAAAAAATTAACAAAGAGTTAGCCAACCATGGTTGCATGCTGTAGTCCCAGCAACTCAGGAGGCTGAGGTAGGAGAATGACTGGAGCCCAGGAGTCAGAAGCTGAAGTGAGCTGTGATGGCATCACTGTACTCCAGTCTGCGTGACAGAGGGAGACACTGTCTCTAAAAATAAAAAAATAATATTAAAATAAAACAACCCCAAAAGAAGTAAATACAGGTGAATATTACATAGTCTTAGTGTAAAGGAGAGCTTGAACATAAGGGTAAAAACCACTCACACTTAAAAATCAGTTAATAGCTTAGGTCCATAAAAGTGAAATTTACCCAGAACCTGTGAACGAAAATAATAATTGGAGGGGAAATTTTGTCTGTACGATATACAGATTCCAAGTCAGGAGAAATGAAGTAGAAGTTTTTATACAGAAAAAATATCACTGAGAAATTGAACAAAAGTACTGGTGATCATCTACAAAACTCAGCCCAACGAGTAATAAGATAAAATCAGGGTAAAAGCAGTATTTCTGTTCTGCCTAGCACATTGGCAAGGCTAAAGAAAAGTGCTAATTTTAGGGAAGATTCAGGAAGATTGGCACTTTCATTCACTGTTGATGAAACTGTATAAATTAGAACAGGCTAAGTCTTATGTATCATGAGAGTATGTTGGAAGGTTTTTTTTCTATTTACCCTTATAAATCTGCAAACGTGTTTTGTTCTAGAGATGTAATTTTTGGAAATATGTTCTAAGATGAGAACTACCTGTGTGCAAAAAAGAATTACTAGGATGTTCATCTTCCTAAGCATCTTCTCAAATTTCCACCCATAAGTGTTCATAGATCAGTGCTGCTGTAGCCATATGGTGCAGTTAAAGAATATGCAAAGATGTTCCCAGCATGTTAAGTGAAAAGAGAACAGTGCAGTGCCAATTTTGTAAGCAGAGTACCTGTACCACATAGAAAACAGCAGAGGACATCTGACATCAGTATGTAACGTGAGTGCTAGTTCAAGGTGCTGAAATTGTGAATGGCTTTATTTCATTTTCCTTATTTATATTGTTTCATATCATTGTTTCTGTGCAGAAGCAAACTCTGTGTTCATTAACTAAAGAGCAGCACATTTGCATCAGACACTGCCCTCCCCACAAACAAAGCCTCTTGACAAAAAGGTCAGGCCTTAGGACAGGTCCGGTCTGCCTAACTTTGCTAAGAACCTGTTTCCTGCTCCTCCTGCTTCCACTGCCAGTTGATAAGAACAGAACAGTGCAACAGCTGTTGTACTTGAGGGTGGGGCGGGGCCTGCCTTGAGCCAAATGGCATTCTCATTGCTGCCTTATGCAGTGTTCCTACCTTGGTAGGTGCCATGGGTGTTTAAGGCATCTTTGCTTATGTAGTGCTGGAGGCTTATAGAAATGGAGGTTATTGCTTCTGGGAAATGCATATGATTGATCTCATGCTGTAAATGATGTTTTTTGTCCTCAGGGCGTAAACCAGAAGAAGAGGGTGTGGAAGATAACGGGCTGGAGGAAAATTCTGGGGATGGACAGGTATGTGCAGCCTTGCAAGCGAAGCAGGTTGGCGCATGGACCAGTGGCAGTCACGTGATGGTTTTGTTTTGTTTTGTCACAGGAGGATGTTGAAACCAGTCTGGATAACTTGCAGGATATGGATATAATAGATATCAGTGTATTAGATGAAGCAGAAATTGATAATGGAAGCGTTGCAGATTGCGTAGAGGACGATGATGCTGATAATCTCCCGGAGTCCCCGTCTGACAGTAGAGAGCTAGTCGAGGGAGACATGAAAGAGCTTCCGGAGCAGCTTCAAGAACAAGCTGTAGGTAACTTGGCAGTGTCTCTGGAATGTATCCTGAACATTCATGTCAGTTGCACAATTACCATAATAGATGATAGTTCTATATTTGAAGTTAAGTTCTCTTAATGCCAGTTCAGTAGAAAAATGGTTCGTCTGCTTTACATACATGTGTAGTTGGGACAATTCTGAAAACACACTTTGCTCAGTTGAAAAGTGATTATCTCGTGTACGTATGTAGGTGAATGCTGTGTATTTGCAGGAAACAGCGTTAAACATTTTGAGGACAATATTAAAAATCTTCCTGTTACAGGAAGTTGATCTGTGCTATAACAGCTTAGATGCCTTGAAAATATTAAAGAGGAAGAGATTCTTTTCTCTCTTGGTACCCTGCTAATAATGGACCTTGTCATTGTTTAAGCCTTAGCTTTTTTTCACATTAGGAGCATCTCATATGTATAACAAAATTTTAGTGGGTACTATGTATTGACCACTGCCTACCCGGCATTAGTTGTTATATCCTTTAATCTTTTTAAAAAGAATGTGAAGTGTTAATGCTGTGTTCCCCATTTTCAGTTCAGGAAAGGGGGTGACACAGAGGTAAAAAATACGTCCAGATAACATACAGCCCATAATAGAATAAGAGTTAAGACCAGGCTAATTCAGGATTCATATACCATGTTGACTTGGTGGCATTCGTTTGTTATTAAATTATTTTGTTTGCATGAGTATTAAGGATAGGAGACATGAAAGATGGTGAAAATGAGGGGCTATGGTGAGGTGTCTCTATAGGGCCCTTTAGGGAGGGGCCCTGTGTCCATAGTGGTCCCAGATTTTCTGCAGCCTGAGCTTCTCAAGCAGTCTTCGGGGAAGGAAGCCCTGCCGGTTGACTTCTGCCATTTCAGAGTATGTTTGCATTTCCTCCTGGAACTAATTCTCAGTATCCCAGAGATTGTCATCTTTCGATAGGGGTTTTGATTTTGAGAAATCGCTGTTATTCTGAGAGTTATTCTGATACGAATCGGGTTTGCAGTTGATTTATTTTTTGGTGAGCGTCATTCATCAGCTTCCTATAAAGGAGCAGCGGAAATACTTGTGTGATGGCAGGGATTACATACGCTGTATTTTCTTATGGCGGTTTTGTTTTCTTACTGCTTCTAGTTAGAAAATAATACACAGTACAGTAAAGGCTAGAAATGTCATAAATGTGCAGAAGCAGTGTACTGTAAGAGTTGAGAGTGTAGACTATGGAGGTCTGCCACTTCCTATGTGACCTTGGGCAGGTTACTTAACCCCTCTAGGCCTCAGGAAAAGTTTGGGAAGAATATAAATGGAAGGACGTTTATCACAAACATAGAGCAGAAGTCAGCATATTGACCATCTGCCCGTTTTTGTTAATAAAGATTTAGTGCAGGCCGGGCGCTGTGGCTCACGCCTGTAATCCTAGCTCTTGGGAGGCCGAGGCGGGCGGATTGCTCAACGTCAGGAGTTCGAAACCAGCCTGAGCAAGAGTGAGACCCCGTCTCTACTATAAATAGAAAGAAATTAATTGGCCAACTGATATATATATAAAAAATTAGCCGGGCATGGTGGCGCATGCCTGTAGTCCCAGCTACCCGGGAGGCTGAGGCAGAAGGATCACTCGAGCCCAGGAGTTTGAGGTTGCTGTGAGCTAGGCTGACGCCACGGCACTCACTCTAGCCTGGGCAACAAAGCGAGACTCTGTCTCAAAAAAAAAAAAAAAAAGATTTAGTGCAGCACAGCCACACCTATTATTGCTGTTGTTGATGGTTGTTTTCATGTTATAGTGTTAGGCATGAGTAGTTGTGACAGAGACTACCCGCACTGCAAAGCCTGAAATGTTAACTGTGCAACCCTAAGAGAAGTTTGCTAAACCCTGGTCTAGGGCAGTGCCCTGCATATAGTAAGAATTATCATCATATAAGAATTTGTAGAGTTGTTATGAAATGCGTTATTGCCTGTACTATAGGTAATATTGCTGTATAACCATCATAATGAACTAAGCATAGTTGTGTGAATTGAAATGATGTCCAAAGAGAAGTGAAACTCAGACAGGGCTCAGAATACTGCGCTGCCTGTCATGCAGACGGAGAAAGGGTAGGTCATCTTTGGCACTGTCTGGTACAGTCTATCTTGTGACAGTTTCATTAGGATTAGGAAGAAGTGGTGGGGGGTAGTCTTCAATGAATAGGCAATGTACTTGAATTTTTTGATCAATTGTCTTTCCTAGTTAAGTAAAAATGATGCTAATACATGCTGATATGAAATGTTTCAAAAATATTTCCCCTAAAAATATGCCAGTTTGCAGGGCTGTATAGCAGTCAGCCAGTACTTGACCCAGAAAGCATCCAAACCTCTTCTGTGTGTTTCATGAATCCCTCGCCTTTTGGGGTAGAGCCCACCTCTTAAAATAGAAGCTCAGCATCCACTTCAATTATTTGCCTGCACATGGGGCATAGAGTAGTCACCTGGATTTTGCCAATCCTATGCTGCTGTCCTCACACTCTTATCTGTAAGTTGATGCTAGGAGGCACAGTTCTCAGAGATGCTGTTGCTTCTGGGTGGTAGCTGTCCCATTGGCAGCAGTCCCTGTGTCAATGGCATCTAGGCTTCGGTAATAGGTGGTTAGAGACTAAACTCTGCAGTGTGATTGTAGACACTGTTCCTGGAACTGTAGCCCCCAAACCTGGTGTTCTAATCCACCTGAAGAGTGTACACTACCGAATTTGAATCTCTATTCTTCTTAAGTTAGAATTTTTGCTTTGTTTGGGTTGTGTCTGGAAACCCACACTGATACCATTTCAATGGGTTTCACACTCTGCCGGCACATAGGCATTCACATACAATATTTCTTTTAGTCTAGATTGAAGGGTAGTGCTGGTTTAGTATTTTGAGTGGCTGTTTCAATTATAATGTTTTAAGACACTGCATTCCCAGTTTTATTGTAAACGATTTTCATAGCTAATGAGTTTTTATTTCAGAGATGTACCATTATGTTATTGTTGATGTAATTAACTGTATCCTCCATTTATTTTACAGGTAGAGGACAAAGAAAATATAAACAATTTAGATACTTCGTCATCTGACTTCACTATATTACAGGTACTTTATTGTATGCCTCAATAATTTTAGAATCAAAGGTTAGACCACAGTTTCTGGAAACCATTTCAGACATTGGGTGGCAGTTTCAAGTAGTAGTCATTGCAAGGTTATTTACTTTGTCAGAATCTTTAGAGGGGCTTTTTGCTCTGTGCTTTTCCCCAGTTGTAACTTACCTGTGGCCAAGGACTTACCTCTTGGCTTAGACTAGTTCCCTTTAAGCACTATGGAAGGGCACACTTGGTGATAATGCTTGTTAATTTCATTGCTAGGGGAAAGGCAGCCTGTCTGATCCACTCTGCATGCTGTCCCCTGCAGAAAGTGATTTCCTAGGGACAGTGGAGGGGGTATTCCCTCCCGAAGAAAGATAAACAGGGTACTGATGAAGATGGGGAGGTTGGGCAGGGCACTGACATTGCAGCTGGGAGAGTTGGAATTTTGGGGGTTCTCGTCCTGTCTTTGGATGTTTTTCCTACCAGAATTGCACAGATTTATTTCGATGACCGTATCGTCTTGGCTGTTTCATTACCATCTCTTTAAATATTAAATCTTAGATGAGAACAAATGAGATGAGAACTAACTTTCAGGTATGATTTTCGTAAATGTGGGTCTTGAGTTCCTTTTCATTATTGTGCCAGCCTACATAGATTTAAATTGTTGAACTACGCGTACTCACTTGGCTATCCACTTTTCAGTAGAAGTTTTTATGAGGAAATCAAAATACAGTCAGCCTTTTGGCAGGCCTTTGTTTTTGTTTTTAAATAGTGTCATCTGTCCAGTGCTAATTAGAAACCACCTTTCAGACATGATCTCCATTTGCTTCTGCCAGGCCAGGGGCAAGGGAGATACTGGAAAACCAGAACTCCACTCTGAGGGTACAAACCTGGAGAAAACTTGCTGAAGCCCAGCTCCCCTTTAGAGCTGATGTCTCCCAAATGCGAAGTGGCACAGCCCATTCTTCACTCAGAAAGGAAAGGTGCAGCTGGATGTTGTCGTGCTCTTTAGTGTATTTCTAGGTCACTGTTACAATAGAAAATATACAGTTCCTCTCAAAAATAAATTATAGTAGATTCGATGTCCTCTAATGAAAACTCAGGAAAAGAGTTATGCTGCCAATACTAATCATTTGCTTTAGTGGTGTGAAGTCCTAATGCCCAGCATGTCCATGGGTAAATGGAAAAGAAAAAATAGATTAAATCCGTGAGAAAAGTGAACAGTCTCCTAGGGCAGCCCAGGATTTTAGAGAAGGGTATAAATCCCATCCTTTCATTGAGGATGTGGCAAGCACCTGTGATGTGTCAGGTGTGGCTTTAGCTGCCAGGGTTAGAAATACATAAGAGATAAGTATGGTCACCATCCTGGCAGGGTCCCCTTTGCATGTGTGTACACAGGTAGCTAGAGCTTTGGGGAGAGCCTGCACTTATGATTTGGAGCAGAGACGTGAAGTCACAGTCTTCTCTCACCACCTCCTGTGTGTCCTTGGGCAAGGTACTCAGACATTCTAGGCCACAGTCACCAAATCTGTAAGAAGGATGATACTAATAGTAGCAACCTCCGGGGGCTGTCTGATGACAAGTATGTGTATATAAGCACTTAAATTATGCCTGGACCCTGGTCAGTACTCAATCTTCAGTGTTGGCTTGAATTCCAGAGTTATGTGCCTTGTGTGCATGGGAAGCACAAGAGCCTATGGACCATATATAGAGGAGAAAGGCCCTTTCCTTAGGGGAATTGCACCTAGAGTTTGGGTTTGGGTCAGAGAGAGGGAGCTGCCAAGGGAGCCTTTGTAGAGAAGATGTCCCTGAACTAAATACTAAAGCAAGTGTGGGACATAGCCACGATAGGGGCAGGGAAGGACTGAGCCTTTTCAGGAGTGAGGTCATGTGGGGGGTCCATTGTCTGTAGGACTGAGGCCATACAGGGCAAGGTGTTTCCTGTGGTAGCAAAGTCCAGACAGACAACGGAGGGGGGTACACAAAGCAGATGCAGTTACAGACAATGAATAGCAATAGTCAATTCAGTAGGGATTCCTCAGAACATTTTTGAGTGACATTTAGAGCTGGCCTGGTAGGGACGCTGATGGAAGAGGAGATAAAGGAGAAAAAGGAGATAAAGGAGCAAATGCTCAAGGTCACTCAGTGCACAGGGGCTCGGGTGGCACCACCATGCAAAATAAGAACAGAAGTCAAACCACATTGTCCCATGTTCCCTCTTTGAATTTTCAGAAAGTTAATTCTAGATTCATTGTGAAAAAGTAATTGTCTGAGGCCAGGCGAGGTGGTTCATGCCTGTAATCCTAGCACTCTAGGAGGCCGAGGTAGGTGGATTGCTCGAGGTCAGGAGTTCAAAACCAGCCTGAGCAAGAGCGAGACCCCGTCTCTACTATAAATAGAAAGAAATTAATTGGCCAACTAAGATATATATATATATATATATATATATATATATATATATATATATATATATATATATATAAAAAATTAACCGGGCATGATGGTACATGCCTGTAGTCCCAGCTACTTGGGAGGCTGAGGCAGGAGGAATTCTTGAGCCCAGGAGTTTAAGGTTGCTGTGAGCTAGGCTGGCGCCACAGCACTCTAACCTGGGCAACAAAGCAAGACTCTGTCTCAAAAAAAAAAAAAAGTAATTGTCTTGTCTGGGCATGGTGGCTGACACTTGTAACCCTAGTGCACTTGGAGGCTTAGGTGCTAGGATCCCTTGAGCTGAGGAGTTCCAGCCGGAGCATGAGCTATACCCTATCTTTTTCTGCTAAAAGTAGAAAAATTAGCAAAGTGCCGAGCCTAGTGCCTGTAGTCCCAGCTACTCACTAGGCTGAGGCAGGAGTATGGCTCAAGCCTGGTAGTTTGAGATTGCAGTGAGCTACCATGACATCATTGCACTCTAGCCCGGGTGACAGACCAAGGGTATTTTTTGTGTCCAAGAACAAAAACAAAGGAATTGTCTTATATGTGTCATGAGTCTTCTGTTAAGTCAGAAAAAGTAGGAAAATGAACATCCTGTTCTTCAATTTGAGAGTTCAGTCTAGAAAGATAGACAAGCATGTGATCAGTTCTTCACTGTGTAATGTGACCAGGTCTTAATCCCATTAAGAGGAAAATGAATGTAGGCTGGGTGAGGTCCCATTAAGAGGAAAATGAATGTAGGCTGGGTGAGGTGGGTGCCAGTGGTGTGGGGTCTTTCCTCAGGAAAGCAGATTTTCTACCTATTGCATTTTTGAGTTTCCCAGGATATTTTTTTTAATTTCCCTTTGTATATATTTTGTTTTTGTTTGCTAAAACTAAGTTTCATCCATCTGGCATAGTCTTATTTACATTTTTTGTTGCAGGAAATTGAAGAGCCTTCCCTGGAGCCAGGTACTGTTAAACGAAAAACTTACCAGTGGGGGTTTGGAACCATTCTAGTTTTCTACCTTCTCTAATTTGCATTCTTTAATTTTAAAAAGTTGCCTTACTGTAGTATACATTGTTCTAAAGGTTTACATTCCAGAACCTACCAAGATCATAGAGATTGGAAACCCAGCCATATCACCAGATCTGTGAACGTGGCTAACTTACTATTTTTTTTTAATTTAATGGTGAGATGAAACTGTCTCATGCCTTTTTAAATATAAATGTCATTTAAACATATGTACAATGAGTTTGCATGCCTCTTATGAGCTAATATATTTACATTCCACAGAACAGATCTTGTGATATTGGCCAGAATCTTAATTTTATGGTTTTTAATTCAGTCAGTACAGGTAGTGGTAGGGAGATACATTTTAAAACATTGAGACATAACTGGATTCCAGAAGAGGAAAGAGTTTCTTCATGAGAATTCCAAACACTATTCACTTTCTGGACTGCAAATATCTCAGAGCACCGATGGAAGAGATTCTGATTTTCATGTTGGACTATTCTGTTAAAAGAAATTCAAAGAAATTTGGAAATTGAGCTGTTCAGTGAATGGTGATACATTCAGTTAAGCAACTTCGACTTTGGAAGCTAAATTTGGAAGAGTCATATATAAACGACGACAGAATGAAGATTGTCAAGAATCAGCCAGAAGGTGTTGTGGGTTAAATCTCTGGGATGCTTCCGTGTAGCATAGAGGCTAACCTAGCAGTTGGTCGGAGCGCAGGTAGTGTAACCAGTGTAACTTTACACACCCCCGGGTTTTCCAATCTCTGTGTAGCTAGCAGTTCTCTTCGTGTTAGTGTGGCAGCCGTGCCAGTTCCGCATTTGTGATTGCTTTATTTCCCTGGTAATTAAACCTTGTGCCATTCTATTCCTGTTAAATCCGTAGAAAATGAGAAAATACTCGACATTTTGGGGGAAACTTGTAAATCTGAGCCAGTAAAAGAAGAAGGTTCCGAGCTGGAGCAGCCATTTGCACAGGATACAAGTAGCGTGATGCCAGACAGAGAGCTCGCGGAGGAAGAGGACCTTTTTGACAGCGCCCATCCGGAGGAGGGTGATTTAGATTTGGCCAGCGAGTCAACACACGCTCAGTCGTGCAAGGCAGACAGCCTGTTAGCGGTAGTGAAAAGGGAGCCCGTGGAGCAGCCAGGCGATGGCGAGAGGATGGACTGTGAGCCTGTAGGGCTAGAGCCGGCAGTTGGGCAGAGTAGCGCAGCCTCCGAGCACGCGGAGGCCTGTAGCGAAGAGGTCGCGGAAGCGCCCGCAGAAGCCCCAAGTCCAGAAGGCAGAGATAGCAAAGAAGACGAGAAGAAGTTTGATTTTGAAGCTTGTAATGAAGTCCCTCCGTCTACTAAAGAGTCCTCAACCAGTGAGGGCGCTGATCAGAAAATGAGGTTTGTTTTTTCTCAGTTTTAGACCAGACGCTATCTCCTTTTCATTGGTCATTTAATGACACACATAAGCTCTTTTTTCTGCAATTGGCCAGCCAGACTGATGAAATTGTAGTTTTACTTCTAGAGAATGTTTTATTTCTCTTTTGTGTATTTTACACTGATTACATAATCTTTTTTCTTTTCTCAACCTATTGTGGTTGTGTTCTTTAATTCTTCCTAATTATCTTTAGCCCAGCAGAATTAATTAACTCCTGTGGGTCTGAAATCTTTTGGTTAGGTCAGATTTTCAATACAAGTTTGTCGGGCTATCATTTTTTCAAAACTAAATTTCGGGTAGGTATGCAACCTCAGCAGGTACTTTATAATTTTGAGTTTGTTTCCTCCATGCTTCTTCCTTCTGGAGTGACATTATCTTTTGTCTCTAGTTCTGTCGACGATGACTCGGATACAAAAAGGCCTTCCAAAGAGGAAAAGGGTAGGTCACCTAGGCGTCACGAGTCCTTCGGAGCATGTTTTGCCTGGTCATGGGCGGGGTGTTTGATTGTGGTTCATGGCATACTGCGTTTCTCACCCAGATTTTCCTGAGTCTTTCCTGAAGTCTTTTTCTACTTCTCTCCTATTGACTCTACAGCTTCTGCATTGTAGGGAGCAAAGCAGATCCCATGAGTTAGCATATTGACTAATGCTCTAGAGAGAGTGTTGCAGTTTATTGGTCCTGTAACACCTTAGCCACTAATTGGGAGAGAATTGAACTAGACCAATTTCCTTCTTAACCATTGTTTAAAAAGACTACGTATATGGGGTTGATGCAGAGGTATGTGCTGCAAGTAATAGAAACAATAGGAATGTTTTTCCATTGAGATACCTAATTAGCCATTTAGTAACTTTCTAAGGGAACAACTTCTCACAGTGCTGACAGCGCCCGAGGTGCTGTTGCGATGGGCCTTTCTGGCAGTGCCGTTGGGCCTGGTACGCGGCTGCACCCTGTTAATGAGGACACTGGGCCAGGCCTCCACCCCTGTTTGGCTTTTGGTGCTGCCACTATCTGGACTAGAAGGCACTGTGTCTGGTTTGGAATCGCTTTCTGGAAAATTCAGGGTGTTTTTGGTGTTATGTTTTTGACAGAACTTTCTTTTGAAATAGGTCGTAGCAGTTGTGGTAGAAATTTCTGGGTTAGTGGACTTTCTTCTACAACAAGAGCTACAGATTTGAAGAATCTTTTCAGCAAATATGGGAAGGTAAGAGCCAGGGCTTGTCTGAGAAAGAAGGTGCTTTTCAGCCAGTGTAATACAGACTTTCCATCCACGTCCTCGTCCTTGCTCAGTGAACACCTTGAATAACACCAGGAGCTTATGTTCGCTAATGGCCATGGATGTTGTGCTCCCTTCCTTTTATGGCTTCCTGAGAGTCCGTGTGTGTGTGTGTGTGTGTGTGTGTGTGTGTGTGTGTATGTGTGTGTGTCTCTTCATGGACTCACTCCCAGAGAGTGCATGTTGTGCTCCCTTCCTTTTATGGCTTCCTGAGTCCGTGTGTGTATGTGTGTCTCTCTCTCTCTCTCTCTCTCTTCATGGACTCACTCTCAGAGAGTGCAGTGGGTGGGCAGAGGTTCTGGTCGGCACAAATTCGAGGCAGCGGTGACAGAGGAAAGTCTCATCAACAAAGAAGGATAGCCCTTAGAACAGGGGCCTCTCTGAACATGTTGTGTGACCCTGTCCCTGCCCATCCTCTGTCTGAACTTCCCTGTTGGTGTGGAGGGCTCCCAGCCCACTGCTGGGGGTCATTCTGGCTCCTTCTCATCTACAGTGCCTGCCTTTCCTAGGCTAGTGAAGGGTGGCAGCCATCAACTTTCCTCCCTTCCCTTTCTCCCCTGTCCTTTTTCTCTCTTACACTCGTTGCACTCACTTCCCAACTAAACTACTACATCCAGGGCTCCGTGTCTCTGAGAATCAGATTTTAGGTCACCAAAGTACAATCTAGTATAGTGTGTTGTCCATAGTAAGGGGTCAGTTTCGCGATAGAGAAAAACAATATGGTCTATCCAGATTATTGACATCCAAGAACTAATGAGAAAAGAAATTATGACTTAGGGCTCTCTGGGCCTCAGTAATCCCAAGTGCATGACTGGAAGGACCTGCACCTGGTCTTCCCGACTGGGGTCCTTGCCCCGACTGCAGAGGGACTCTCAGTAGGTGGCTGCTTTCAGCAGGGAAGTTTCCTAAAGACTGCAGTGTCTTGGGTGCATTGCAGGCCTGTGTGGATTAAATAGGAGAGCAGACCGCTCTAAAACCTTCCATGTGACATAGCACGAGTGAACACAGGCTGTGGCCATTGATTCCTGAGGGCGTTTTCCTGAGCTGTGGTGCCTTCTGCCTTAAAAGGGTGAGCCTGACTTCAGCTTGCTGAATTTGTTGGCAGAACTGAGTCACACGTAAAGGATGGGCCCCATCTAAAACATATCAGTGAAATTTGTTAGTGTTAATAGTAAGGTGGTTTCAGTTTTCAACCTTCAGGCAAAGGAAAAAAATTAGGTAGATTTTTGTGTTCCAGAGCAGTGTTTGCAAACCTGTCTTCACATCAGTATCTGTGTAAAAGTCCTCCTACACAATAACGCTTCATACTTTAGGGCTAAAATACCATGACTGTATATTTACAAACATTTCTGCACAACTTTGAAGCCACGCTAAAGGAACACTATGGGAACTGTGGGTTTCATTTCCCTTTTCTCTCTGTTCCTGCACACTGCCCTCCTGGTCCCTTTGAAGAACAATCAGAATAACATCCTCCCCATATGTATCTACGATATGTAGGACACCTGGTGACCCAACTCCCGTGCCAGCACTCACCCCATGGAGGGCTCCAGGACTGGAATACATGAGAGGAGACTAGTGTCTCCACGGCCCTGCCTTCAACTCCCTCCCCTCAGAGAGTTCTGGTTCAAATTGCAACACCACACACATTTGAGTTGTGGGTGTTGGGGTCTGTATCTCTGTAGGCTTCATGTCCAAGTTATATTTACATGCTTCCCTTTGAGGTGGTGGGTGCCAAGGTTGTGACAAATGCCCGGAGTCCCGGAGCTCGCTGTTACGGCTTTGTCACGATGTCCACAGCAGAGGAGGCAACAAAATGCATTAACCACCTGCACAAAACGGAGCTGCACGGGAAGATGATCTCTGTGGAAAAAGTGAGTGATCATTTTGACTCTGGGATGTGGCCGGTTTTAGAAAATGATGTGATAGTTTAACTTTATTCTTTTTTTCAGGCAAAAAATGAACCTGCTGGGAAGAAAACCTCTGACAAAAGAGATAGTGAAGGGAAGAAGGAGAAGTCAAGCAACATGGACAGGTACTCCTCTTCTCTGATGAGATGAGATGAAATGGGGAGGGGACAGCTGAAGACATCCCTTTCCTTTTCTGGCATCCTTCAAGATTTCTGTAGCTATGGAAGTCTGGGTAACTATCTCAGAGGTTGAATCTCCATGGGATCCCTTCCTGTGTGTTTTGAACTTGGTCAGCAGCCCTTCACTGCCAGTAGGTGGAGGTTTCCTCTCTCCAATCAGTTGGTGCTCATTGCGGGAGTCCAGGCAGGGCTGGTCTGTTTGCCTGAGTACTTGCTCTAACACACTGCTGTGTTTCCGGGGCTGCTGTTTGTAGATCTGCGAACCTTAAAAGGGACGATAAAGCGGACAGAAAAGATGATGCTAAAAAAGGTGAAGATGGAAGTGGAGAAAAGAATAAGGACCAAGATGACCAGAAACCTGGCCCCTCTGAGCGATCACGAGCCACAAAATCAGGTAGGCAAGGGAGGCCATACAGGAGGTTTCTTCTTGTTTTCTGACCCTGGCCAGTGTGGGTTGTTAATTTGCTACTATTAGGAGATAGCTAGGTTCATTTTTCATAGTTTCTCCATTGAGTATTTATTTTATCTTCCCTTCCCCTTTTTTTTTTCCTGTAGGGAGTCGAGGAACTGAGAGGACTGTAGTCATGGATAAATCTAAAGGGGTGCCTGTTATTAGTGTGAAAACATCGGGATCCAAAGAGAGAGTGAGTGTTAATTTTCTATGTAGGATATTTAGCTCTTATGATATATATTTCTGTGTGAATCTCACTGAGTTCTTGAGCTTAATTTAAGTAAAGCTTTCTACCTTTTCAAAATCCCATAAATCTAACACTTTTTAAATGGAGAAAATGCTAAGCTTTCCTTTAGACTTAATTTTCCTCTGATGATTGTTGGTTTTTATTTTTCTAGGCTAACTTTTAAACTGAAATATGAGAACACTTGACTTTTTTCCCTGAATCAGCATGTAGTGGTCCATTTTCATTGTCTGCCCTGAAAGTTTCAGGAGCCCCCTATCGTGTATTCGTAAACCTGGCCCCGCCGGCCTTTGCAGCCTGCCTGTAAGCCTGGTCTCCTTGGATCCAGCCCCATACGCTTCTCTCTGCACGCTGCTGCACAGAACGCTGGAACCCAGCATGTCTGTGTTAGCTACTTAGCACCTGACTCTGCCTGCCATTAGGGTCATGGGCAGCTGTTGATGTTCGTAAGTTCGACTTGTGACAGTCTTACAGGTTTGACAGATGTGGGTGACGGGTCCCCAAGAGTACACCCACATTTAGCAGTTCACTAGGATGACCATTGCACTTAGCATATAGTTGTATTTGCGGCTAAGATGGGCTGTTTCTCTACAGGGAAGCCCATTAGAGCATTGGCATCCAAGGTTTTTATTGGAGGCTGCTAACAGGCATCCTCTGCCCATCAGGTACTAAAATTTCCCATTCCTAGAAGGAAGTACATGTTCACCATGAACTAATTGCACAGACTAGGCACGCTGAGCCACCTTTACCAGTCACCTGTCGAGTAGTGACACTCAGAGCGTCCAAGTTCCAGTTGCCAGCCTTGGGCCTGCCATGTCAACCCTGAGCTGCACAGAGCAAAAGACATTTACTCTGGTTCATGATGTTACTCACCTGCAAGCCAGCCTGTCAGTTATGGAAGCTTCCATCCAATCTGTGCTACTTTGTGTCAATTTTTAACATGTTGTAGCCTTTTACTCTTATTTCATGAAGTATAATTAAAAATGGAAAAATGAAAGTGTTGATTTCAGGGCTAAAAAGGGTGGTTGTGGAATAAATGTACTTGGCATAATCAGAGATTGTCAGGCACACCAGAAGGGCATTATTTGGTAACTCCAACTGCATATTTGCTTATAAAGTAAAAGACAAGAAATATAGTTTGGATGCAAAAGAAAAGTTATGAATGTTTTTGATCTTATGAAAAATTTTGGCATCAGTGTTCATTTCCGTTTTGACCCTATTGAATATAGTTGATGAATCAAATTTTATCATTAAATATTGATGAAACTCTTTCAGTTATAATAAGCAAAACATAAAGTTTCTTTAGAGAGAATACATCATCATCTGATGGTTTCATGAAAAGTTGATCATTATGTGGGATTTGCACATTGAATGCTTGGACATGGACATACTTAATTCTTCATTTGTAATCTCTACCTTTTTTTTTTCTTTTTTTTTTTTTTGAGACATCCTCACTGTGTTGCCCAGTGTAGAATACAGTGGCATCATGATAGCTCATTGCAATCTCAAACTTCTGGGTTCAGACGATCCTCTGGCCTTAGCTTCCTGAGCACCTGGTACTATAGGCATCTGCCACTATGTCCAATAGATTTTTTTTTTTTTTATTTAACAAAATACCCTCAGATTCTATGTCCAATAGATTTTTCTTAATTTTTGTAGAGATGGTGTCTTGCTGTTTTCTAGGCTGGTCTCAACTCATGGACTCAAGCAGTCCTCCTGCCTCAGCCTCCCAAAGTGCTGGGATTACAAGTGTTGGTTCCCGTACCTGACGTACTTTAAGTTTTTAATGTTCTTTGGTGAACTAGGTTTCCAAAAGCCAGGATCGTAAATCAAATAGCAGAGAGAAGCCGTCCATCGTGTCCTTTGATAAGATCAAAGAGCCTCGAAAGTCAAGGGACTCTGAATCCCGTAGGTGAGTTTGGGTCCAGGAATGGTTGGGTTGTTTCTCTACGCTGTGGTCAGGACGACGTCCTGAGAGGACATGTTCATAGTTCCCTGGGGGTGGAATACAGTGGTGAACATTTTTGTTCCTTTGGCTGTCAGTTCATGCACTTGCTGTGTTTTTACTTTCATCGCGTGGCTCTTCCTAAATGATTTTATGTAAATGGGCTCATCTCTCCGGAGAGATTACAGAGGGTGATATAGGGAGATTCAGTGCTTTTCTGCTGCAGTAGTGCTATTTAGCAAAAAAATACTAAATCTACTTTAGAAGCTTTGAAAAGGGAAAAAGTAACAGCCCGAAAGGAGCACTGAGAGGTCTTCATCGTTAAATAAGTCAAGAATGATGTTGTCATAACTTTTAAAGACTAAAAACGAATGTTATTTGGTCATTCTGTGTTACTGTTAATCTACCTTTACTATGAAGAATCAAATATTAAATTATAGTTTTAAAAATAAGGACCAGTGGGAGTATGTATATTCAGGGCAACTTGAATTTGCACATCTGGGTTACTTAAAAAAAATTTTTGAAGTACTATTAGTTTAGAAAAAATAACAAAAAATAGAGTGAAATTGGGGGCTGAGGCAGGGGAGCAGTTTTTGTAATGCTCCCTACAGAACAGTTTGCCGAAACGGAAAATGGCAGGCAAAGGCACATGCAGCTTTGGTGGAGTAACTGGCATCTGATCAGCAGCACAGACCACAGAATATGGGAGCAGTGACATTTCCCACCATGTAGAAAGGACGGACTGACCCACACAGGGCTTCAGGTCATGTGGCTGTGCCTTCACAGCCTGCTCTGCATTCTTGCCTCACATCATTGACCTTGTAGCATAGCTTATGAATTTGAGGTTTCGAGGGCCTTAAAAGTCATAAAGAGAAATTGACCCAGTCAAAATTAAACTTTTCTACCATGAGAAACCATAGGCAAAGTCAAAAGACATGCAGTTGATGGGAGTAAAAGTGATTTGAAATAAATATAATAAATCAATAGAAAAAAACTGCCTGAAAGAAAAGTTCACAGAACTATGTGGACACTTCACAAAAAGGGCAGTACAAATGACCTTGAAACAGATGAAAAGCTGTCAAGTCTCACTAGGGATCAGGGAAATCAAAACGGTGGAGGGGCCATGTTCTCATCCCTCAGTGTTTTGATCAAACATATGCGTGGAGGTGCTGGGAGGTGGGCGTTTCTGTTAGGAGACTGTAAATGGGCCCAGGGACACCCCAGAGCTGCGTGAAAGGCCCAGGGTTCTGGTCCCAGCAATTCTCTTATCCATGTGTGGCCTGGCGGAACCTGTGCTCAAGAAAGTGTTGCCTGGGTGTCCGTTTTATGAAGCTGTAGCTTTTGGGAACAACAGAGACATCCCCTCATGCTGGTTCCATAAACCCCGCGTTCTTCACGCTGTGGGCTCCTCGTGAAGGGGCCGGAGAGCCACGGAGGCAGATGTGGGAGCGACCAAGACATGTGGAGTGAACCAAAGAATTGACAGGCATTTGTGTCCAGAACACAGACACAAAACAGGGCACGATTATCCATTTCTTCTGGTACAAGTATACAGTTGTCCTTCGGTATCCCAGGGGAATTGGTTCTGGGATTCCTGAACCAAAGCTGTGGAGGTTCATGTCCCTGATACTAAAGAGCGTGGGGTCTGCATAGAACTTACGCACATCCTCCTGAGGACTTTAAATAGTCTCTGGACTACTTTTTATACCGAATACAAGGAAATTGCTGTGTCCGTGGTTGTTATTCTGTAGTGGTGGGAGGGATTGGTTTTGGTTTTGGTTTGTTTGTTTTTTGTTTTCCTTGAGCCAGAATCTCACTCTCACCCTGGATAAACATACAGTGGTGTTATGATTCCTCAGTGCAACCTCAAACTCCTCGGCTCAAGCTATTCTCTTGACTTTATCTCCCAAGTGTCTGGGACACCACTGGGCACCACAGTGCCTGGCTAATTTTTCTATTTTTAGTAGAGACAGTAGTCTGGCTCTTGCTCAGGCAGCTTTCAAACTCCTGAGCTCAAGTGATACTTCTGCCTTAACCTCCCAGAGTGCTAGAATAACGGGTGAGCTAGCACGCCCGGCATATTGTAGTGTTTTTTTGTTTGTTCATTGGTTTTGTTATTTTTGGTTTTTTACTGTGTTGTATTCATGGTATTGTTGGGGTTTTCGGGGGTTTTTTTCCTCTAATATTTTGATCTTTGGCTGATTGGATCACTAGATCCAGAGGGCCAACTGTAACTGTAAACGCATAGAGAAGGAGTAAAAAACAGACAGTTTGGCACTTGTCTTTGTTGCCTCTATAAAAACCTGAAAGGAAAAGCACAAAAATGCCTGTGTCACTGTCATAATTATGTAGCTGTTACTGTCCTTGGCCTGGGCAGAATTCCTGCCCAGCTTCAGGTCTGGGGCTTTATAGACATCAACAAGATTTGGATTCTAGTGCTCCAGCCTCATTTTCCAATGACTAAGTTAAGCTCATGGTTTAGGGAGCAATGGTTCTAATTTTGAGTCACTCACCATGAAGAATATGTTCCATTTCTGACTTATGACTGTCTTATGTCATGAAATCAGATGTCAAGGTCCAGGAAATAAGGCCCAGTTCACATAATAGCTGATCATGCAGAGGGGAACACATACAACACCCCTCCCTTCACTCTTGGTTATCTGGCTATGCAGGGACCATGGTGGAAGGAGAACTGGGTGGCACTCCTGTGCTCTTCCTGCTTTCTCACATTGTCCCTGGTCCCCAGGCTCCTCCTCCTTGGTCTTACTTGTGGTTCTGTGGGTTATGCAGGTGGAGGCACAGCCCTGGAGTCTGTTTTCCTGGGGGTGGACCTGGCTGGGGGATTCCTGCTGGCCTTTCTGCAGCCTAACTGTTGTGCAGCAGGGTGCGGGAGCGCAGTGATCGGGAGCAGCGCATGCAGGCGCAGTGGGAGCGTGAGGAGCGCGAGGAGCGGGAGGAGCGTGAGCGGCTGGAGTTTGCCCGGGAGAGGCTGGCCTTCCAGAGGCAGCGGCTGGAGCGGGAGCGCATGGAGCGGGAGCGACTGGAGCGCGAGCGCATGCACGTGGAGCATGAGCGCAGGCGTGAGCAGGAACGCATCCACCGTGAGCGCGAGGAGCTCCGGCGCTATGAGCAGGAACGGCGGCCTGCAGTGCGGCGGCCCTACGACCTGGATGGCCGGTAAGCTGACACCCCATCCTGTTGCCCTTAGGTGGCCCTTGTGGGTCAGAATCGTATTAATGAATGATGTTAGCGTGAGCTCTGTCTTTAAAAGCATGCACAGGTAGAGACGTGGGCCTTCTCCTGTACTTCAGCAGGGATCTTGAGATGGCTGGATGGATGCTGCGGTGATTATTAAATCACTGGGTTCAGGTCCAGGCACTAGAGCAGCCCGTGAAATGTGCTGGCAGGGGAGACAGAGACGAAAAACCTCTTCTGAGGCCTGTCCTGGCTTTTTAATCCATTGTAATTTGTTTCTGCTCCTCTTCGTACTAATATTAATTTCACATCCCCAAACATACCCATGAGAGGTATGCATAGAATAACGCTACACCCAGTAGGACTGGAACCTAAATGAAAACTTTGCTGTCAGGAATTGGGTGGATAATTCCAGCCTCGATCCTATCAGGCTTTCTCCATGCATAACAACTTGGGACAAATTGCGCTATTTCTTTTTTTTTCTGCTTCATGAGTTGAAGAGGTACCCATGAAATATGTATTTTGACTCTTATAAAGGGCCATCTAAGCTGTTTAGGAACACTTACGGCTTTTGTTGTTGTTGTTAGACAGAGTCTCACTCTGTTGCCGGGGCTAGAGTGCTGTGGCGTCAGCCTACCTCACAGCAACCTCAAACTCCTGGGCTCAAGGGATCCTCCTGCCTCGGCCTCCCGAGTAGCTGGGACTACAGGCATGTGCCACCATGCCTCTTTAATTTTATTTTATTTTTATTTATTTATTTTTTTTTTGAGACAGAGTCTCACTTTGTTGCCCAGGCTAGAGTGAGTGCCGTGGCGTCAGCCTGGCTCACAGCAACCTCAAACTCCGGGGCTCAGCGATCCTACTGCCTCAGCGTCCCGAGTAGCTGGGACTACAGGCATGCGCCACCATGCCCGGCTAATTTTTTGTGTATATATTTTTAGTTGATCAGTTGACTTATTTCTATTTTTGGTAGAGACGGGGTCTTGCTCAGGCTGGTTTTGAACTCCTGACCTTGAGCAATAATTTTTTTCTATATATATTTTAGTTGGCCAATTGATTTCTATTGTTTTTAGTAGACACGGGGTCTCACTCTTGCTCAGGCTGGTTTTGAACTCCTGACCTTGAGCGATCCTCCCACCTTTGCCTCCCAGAGTGCTAGGAATACAGGGGTGAACCACCACGCCTGGCCCTATGGCTTTTATAAAATACTGATGTTAAGAGTCCATGGTGGTCACCAGTGTGCTGAAACAGTATGTTTCAAGTGCTTGTGTCAGTGACATCTTTGGGGGGCAACAACTCAGAGTGTATATGTAGCAGAGGTGCCAGGTGTGCTGTAAAGAGCTCCTCGGGGTAGAGGCTTGCACTGGTTTCCTGAGAGCTGGTGGCTGTGTGGATTCCCCGAGCCTGTCCGAAGGCTGCCACTGCCCACTTCTCACTGTCCTGTTGGGTATAGGCGGGGCAGGGGGTGCTGGATAAAACGGAAACCATCTTTCAGTCATTGGGGTCAAATCAGATCTCTAGGCTCATGTAGCAGGGAACACTTTGGTGAAATTAATTAATTCCCTGTCTGTGAAGTGCTGGGGGCAGGGACAATTAGGGGCTACTTCACCAGCTCGCACAAAGCTCACACATACGGTTGGAGGGAAAATGGCTTTATCTCCTGCCCGTGCCCCTCATAGGCGAGATGATGCCTATTGGCCAGAGGCCAAGCGGGCCGCCCTGGATGAGCGCTACCACTCTGACTTCAACCGCCAGGATCGCTTCCATGACTTCGACCACAGGGACCGGGGCCGCTACCCCGACCACTCGGTGGACAGGTCAGTTGGGGCCTGCCCACTTGGTGCAGGTTTTCTTTCTGCTGGTTCATTCTCTGACTGAGAATAAGGAGTGGCTTTCTGGGCTCTGAGCCATCGGTGCATGCGGTTGGCACTGAGTCAGGCTCTGCATCACCTGCCTTCGGTTTGGGAAACGTTGCTTTTCATTTTGGGGGTCTGATTGGCCACTCTGTTCACAAGCCTCTTCCTCTCCTTATGGTTTGCTTTAAATTACCTTTTTCAGGAGAGAAGGTTCAAGGTCAATGATGGGAGAAAGAGAAGGACAGGTAAGTCGGAAGCTACAGTTGTATCCACAGCTTTTCCCATAGCGTTGCTTCCCTTACCCTCTGCACACCTCCTCCCTCCCACTGCAGTGAGAGGAAAAGTGAGGCAAAGGAAAAGCAGAGCACCTTCTGTGTTTGGGATGAAAATGGGATATTTCTGCTTGGTCTTGGCTGTGAATCCAGAGAGCTCCTCTGAAGCCTCTTTTGGCCTAGATAGAGCCCGACTGAGTTTCTGTGAGCCGTGCTCACTGAGCACACTGGGCTGGCAGGCCTCGGGGTGGGGCTCCCCTAGCTCATGGGAAGGTACCTGGTGAGCATGCGGCCACTCACGTGCTTCTGCGTCGTGGTCGGTGTGTCTGCTCCCCAGGGCCTTCCCTGTTTGTGTGTGAGGCAAGACGGCCCCGCTTCACTTGGGCGGCCCAGGGCCCCACTTAGCCTTGGAAACAACGCAGTCTCTGGCCACACTCGTTCTCATTGCAGGATTCGCACATGAGAAGAATAAGCTCAGTTTCATCCTCGTCTTCTGTCTCTTACATGTAGATTGAGGATTTCCCAGAAAGTGTCTCAGACTTTAGTGGGTTTACTGGAAAACGTGGGGACAGGAGGGAAGGCTGTGGAGAGGCCGTTGTGGTGGCAGAGTTGATGCCTCGTCCCCGTTAGCTTTTCCTCAACTCTAGCAGAAGCTTCACTTTTCAGTCTCATTGTCCTCCCTCGTTGACGTGATGTGGCTGGGGGTACCCAGGTTCCTGCCCTCTGTCTTGGGCATGCTCTTCTGCCTCAGGAGCAATTTCATGCGTCTCACGGGATTCCTTTCTCCCTGTTTCTGGAGGCAAATGTTACGTGCCATGCAGCAAAACTAGACTAGTCTTCTGGGCTTTCTTTGATGGTGAAGCGTGGCCCATTGGTTAAAAGCCCAGGGTCTAGAATCAGAGTTGGGCTTATAACTTGTCACCACTCCCTGTCGAGACTGTGTCCAGTTGTGACATGAGCGTGTTGATTCCTCCCGTGTAGTGGGGGATCTGCTTCAGGGGGTTCGGGTTTCTGAGTGCACGCGTTCCCCAGCGCTTTCCATCCACACTGGCTACTTTTCAGCAGGTTACCACAGACTACTCCTCTGCATGGGAAGGGGAGTTGGATTATCTTTGCTCACATACCCAGCGATAAATAGGACATCGTTGGTGCCCCAAATGGCACGTGGTGACAAGTGACTTGAGAGAAAGGAACACAGAACTTCAGGGCCTTAGTGAATTGTTACATGGCCTGGTTGATCAGAACACTGTTGGTTCACTGTTAAGCTATTAGAGAGGGATGCAGGTGGCTAAATAGTTAAAGAACTAGGTACCTATTTGAAAATCAATATGTCTTAAACATCGTTTATAGAAATATTATTTCAGGGCCAGGCTCAGTCGCTCACGCCTGTAATCCCAGCACTCTGGGAGGCCCAGACAGGCGGCTTGCTTGACCTCAGGAGTTTGAGACCAGACTGAGGAAGAGGGAAATCCTGTATGTACTAAAAATAGAAAAATCAACCAGGTGTCATAGAGCTTGCCTGTAGTCCCAGCTTACTTGGGAGGCTGAGGTGGAAGGATCACTGGAGCCCAGGAGTTGGAGGCTGCAGTGAGCTACGATGACGCCACTGTACTCTCGCCTGAGCAACAGAGCAGGACTGTCTCAAAAAAGAAATAGAAAGATATATTATTTCGAGAGTCTTATTTTAAGAAGTTCTTGCATTTGGCAGCACTGCCTTGCATAGATGCTCTGGCCGTGATTGTGTACTTGAGGGAACATAGCTACACTTTGTACATCTTTCAGAATTAACCTGTTTTCTTTATTTTGTTGAGGGTGGTGTCATGAGCCCATGCTTGGTAGGATAAGCCAGGAGATGGGGCTGCAGGTGTGCCATCCCAGGCTCTGATGACATGTAAGAACAGGCTGCCATCCATGCCCTCAGCCTGGCAGAGCTCTCCATTTAATGGGAGAGGTGAACTTGGATTTGTACAACTAGGCCATCTGGAAGCATCCTAGCAGTTTTCATTACCAGGACTGTTTGTTGGTTTCTTCTCACTTTAAATGCAGTCCTGGGCAAATCCCAAAGGCCACTGTATCTGTGGACCACAGAGCAACAGGCCATGTAGCCAAAGCCATCTCACTGGCTTCTGTGAAAGTCAGGCTGGAGCTTGAGCCACAGAAGCAGGCTTTGGGTAAATGTTAACCTTGACCCTCAAAGAAGTGAGCATAGAGTGTGAAGCCTCCTTTTTTGTCTGTCAAGTACCAAAAGGACAGGGTTGGGAACCCGTGGCCTGTGCTGGCCAAGGGCATGCTGCCCTCTAGTTCCGCCTGACAGGCATCCTTCAGCCTGAGCAGAGCAGGACCAGAAATGGTTACAGTGAAAGGCTGCATTGGATTAAATACCTGTGTAAACAGCAGTTACTCATAACATGCATACCAGGTTGAGTGAGTGAGAGTGTGTGTGTGTGTGTGTGTGTGTGTGTTTTGAGGAAAATAAACCTATTGAATTTTACTACATGATAGTATTCCCAGTAAACTTGTTAACCTTTTTACAAAAGAGGACAGTATTTAGAGATCCTGTCGTCATATAGTTAACAACATTCTGTAATAAGGAACCTGGCAATAGGCTGGTAGAGGTGTTGCGTGCAGCTGTGTGTGTGTATATGTATATATATATGCTTGCTTTGCTGTGGAAGGAAGAAACTTGTAAAACTCAAGTATTTCCCTTATGTGCATGTGTTAAAGGTTGTGAACTTGACCTTTACAGTATAGACAGTTGATGAGAGAAAACCATTAGTTTGTGGTGACTAACTGTATGAGCTGTGGGCCCTGGAGCACTCTCTTATGAGCAGCATCTTAGTTGGTGGCCCTCTCAGCTCTGGTCGTGCTTTGGAGACCCACCATGGAGATGCCATCCTTGGTATTAAGCAGCTACTGGGCCCCATCATCCCCTGGGAGTCCTTCCGTGCTTGAACTCTTCCTCCTTTGTAGTCGGGTGAATGTCGGCCATGGGTTTCCTTTATCACCTCCCCAGTGCTGAGCCTGAGCCTGAGCCTGGGCATGGCCCGGCCTTGTGGGAGTGCCGGGTCCTGTCAGCACTTCTGTGGGAGTTACTGTTGTTGTCGTTGCCATCCCATTGCCTGAGGGCTTTGGGATCCAGGAGTTGATACTAGAGCTTTCTCTTCTTTCTGGGTTCTCCTCATCCAGCATTATCCTGAACGCCATGGAGGACCAGAGCGCCACGGCCGGGACTCCCGCGATGGCTGGGGGGGCTATGGCTCCAACAAGAGGCTGAGTGAAGGCCGGGGGCTGCCTCCTCCACCCAGGTTAGTGTCCTACACCCCACGGTGGGGTGGCTACTGCGATGATTGTGTGGGGGAGAGGTGAGTGAGCCCATTGGGATAAGAGCTGGTTTCCGTTTTCCTGGCCCTCCTGCCCAAAGGGATGGGGGCAGTCCAAATCAGAGATGTCTCTTTTCAAGGGGCAGACGTGACTGGGGGGACCATGGCCGAAGAGAGGATGACCGGGCATGGCAGGGTTCAGCTGACGGGGGCATGATGGACCGGGATCACAAGAGGTGGCAAGGTGAGGACTGGGCTACAGGCCGAACTTTGTGTCTTTGTTGGGAAGCTACAGAAAAGATTGAGCCTGGAGCCGCTCCTGCTCTGCCTGCAGCCAGCCTGCTAGGCAGAGCAGGACAGGTGCGCGTTAGCAGTCGCCTGAGTGAGCAGAGCGATGGGTGGGTGAGCGCCACAGACACTGCTGCCTGGAGGTCTGGCCCAGAAATCAGGCAGGGGGTGTTCCTGAGTCGTCTCAGGCAGGACACCGAGGCGCGTGTGCGGAGGCATCTGGCTGGGGTCTGCCTGTTCTGCATTAACCAGGTGCCGCAACCAACATCCTGTGCTCGATGCTCTGTGACGAGTGTATCTTTCTTCCAGGTGGTGAAAGAAGCATGTCTGGTCACTCTGGGCCTGGCCACATGATGAATCGGGGAGGGATGTCAGGGTAAGACATTTTGTGGGTGACGCCACTCTCCCTGTGGTGCCTCCCTTCCCTGTGTGTTGGCCTACCTCGGTGAAGGTTTAAAAGCAACCAAGTGTTCCCAGCTAACGCCACCTTCCCCCAAGTGTGATGCAAGGTCATCATCTCATGCAGTAGAGTCTGTCTGCTGCTGGAGGGGGTGCTCAGGAAGGGCATCTGCCTGCGGGCAAGCCCTGTGAGTTCGTGGGGGTGGGGATAGGGCCAGAGTGGGGGAGCTTCCTGGACAAAAGATTCTGAATTTGTTCCTAGGCGTGGCAGCTTTGCCCCTGGTGGGGCCTCCCGGGGCCACCCCATTCCGCGGGGCAGAATGCAAGGCGGGTTTGGAGGCCAGAGTGGGGGTAGCAGACCCAGCGACGCCCGCTTCACTCGCCGCTACTAAGTACTTTGAATCCTGTGTCCGTCATGTGGCAACAAGACTATGTTCTGTTAGGAGTTATCTTAAACTGTGTAAAAATATTTTTTTTATCTGCTGCCATATTATAGCTCAACACAATGTGAATTTGTTTTTGTTTTGTTTTGTTTTTTTGTAATAAATGTGTTTCTGTTCATATACCCTTTATTTAAAGTATCATCCCTTGTTATTTCTGGCTTTTTCCATGAGATGAAATTATACTTAGCTTTTCGGTGGGGGAGGCTGCCTCGGGTTGCCCTGGGCTGCGCTCCACCTCCATGGCCAGGTCTCTAGCCGGCTCGCTGAAAGGCAGGGTGTGTGCAAAGTCTTCTCCCTGACGAATCCTGCATTCTTCTGGAAACAAGGGTTCAGGTTGGGAGGGGGACCATGGAAGGAGCCAGTGGAACAGCCATGGTGGCAGCCTGTCTGCAGGAGATGCTTGTCCACCAGAGGGGGCTGTGGGGCAGCATCCAGCGGTATTAGCTAGTGGCTGAATACCACTGTCACCTAATGTGACTTCTGGCAGACACAAGGAACTGGCATGCATTAGAATAGAAGGGGCTGTAGGAGTTTTTCCTAGGGCTGCTGTAACCAACTGCCTCAAACTTAATGGCTTAAAACAATAGAATTTTTTTTTTAATATGGAACACTTCATGAATTTGTGTGTCATCCTTGTGCAGGGGCCATTCTAATCTTATCTGCATCATTCCAATTTTTTTTTTTTTTTTTTTTTGAGACAGAGTCTCACTTTGTTGCCCAGGCTAGAGTGAATGCCATGGCATCAGCCTAGCTCACAGCAACCTCAAACTCCTGGGCTCAAGTGATCCTCCTGCCTCAGCCTCCCAAGTAGCTGGGACTACAGGCATGCGCCACCATGCCCGGCTAATTTTTTCTGTATATATTAGTTGGCCAATTTCTTTCTATTTATAGTAGGGACGGGGTCTCTTGCTCAGGCTGGTTTCCAACTCCTGACCTCGAGCAATCCGCCCACCTCTGCCTCCCAGAGTGCTAGGATTACAGGCGTGAGCCACCGCGTCCGGACTCATTCCAATTGTAATATATGTGCTGCCGAAGCGAGCACACATAAATTTATTATCTTACAATTCTGGAAGCCAGAAGTCCACCTTGTTCACTGGGCCAAAGGCAAAATGGTGTCTCTAGGACTGCATTCCTTCCAGACCCTTCAGGGGGGATTTGTCTCCTTGCCTTTTTTTTTAATAGAGTATTACTTTTATATAATAATGCATATTATTTTTATATAAAATTTACCATTTTGACCATTTTTAGGTGTACAATTAAGTGGTGTTATGGTACATCCACAGTGCTGTACAACCATCAGCCACTGTTCATCTCCAGAATTTTAATCCCTCCCAAACACACATTAAATCCGCACATTAAAAACTATCTCCCAGCCCCTGGCACCCACCATTCTACTTTGTGTCTCTGTGGATGTGACAACTCTAGGGGCCTCCTGTGTGTGGAATCACAGGATGTGTCCTCCTGTGTCTGCCTCTTTTCACTGAGGACGATGTCATCAAGGTCCGTCCATCTCACAGCCTGTGTGGTGCTTCATTCCGTTATGGCCGACTGTTACTGTGTGGAACACGCTTTCCTCATCCCTCCTGTCAGTGGACAGTCAGGTTGCTTCCACCTGTTAATCCTTGTGGCTAATAGTGCTGCAAACATTGGTGTCAGTGTCTGAGTCCCTCCTCTTAGTACGTAAATGAGATCACATGGTAATTCTGTGTTTAGCGTTCTGAGGAATCACCGTATTTTCCATAGCAGCTGCACCATTTTACATTCCCACCAGCAAGGCACAAGGGGTCCAACTTCATATCCTTGCCAACACTTTTCCATTTTTTTTGTAAAAGCCATCTTAATGTATATGAAGTGATACCACATTGCAGTTTTCATTTGCATTTCCTTAATGTTTAGGGATGTTGAGCATCTTTTCATGTGCTAACTGTTCTTTTCTCATTTATTTTTTTAGAGATGGGGTCTGGCTCTGTCCCCCAGGCTGGAGTGCAGTGGTGCGATCACAGCTCACTGCAGCCTCCAACTCTTGGGCTCAAATGATCCTCCTGCCTTGGCCTCCCATATCTTCTTTAGAGAAATGTCTGTTCAAGTCTTTTGCCTCTTTTTTTGAATTGAGTTGTTTTGGTTTTGAGTTGGATTCTATATATTCTTGACATTAAGCCCTTATCAGATACATGGCTTGTGACTATTTCCTGTCATTCTGTGGACTGGCCTTTTCCACTCTCAGTAGTGTACTTTTTTTCCCCCCCAGTATATTTTTAGAGCTGCAGTCTTGCTTTGTTGCCAGGCTGGAGTACAGTGGCTGTTCATAAGCGCAATCATAGCTCACTGCAAACTCCAACTCCCAGGATCACGCGATCCTCCTGAGCAGCTGGGACTACAGGTGCGTGCCACCACTGTACCTGGCTGATAGTGTACTTTGTTGCATAAAAGGTGTTAATTTTGCTAAAGTCCACTTTATCTAGTTTTCCTTTTGCCTGTACCTACGGTGTCATGAGCAAGAAATCATTGCCAAATCCAACATCCTGAAGTTTCTCCCTTACGTTTCTTTCTAAGAGTTTTACCATTTGGGGTCTCAGGTTTAGGTCTGGAATTTGTGTTGAGTGATTCTTTGTATATGGTGTTAGGTGAGGGTCCAACTTCACTCCTGCGTGGGGATGTCCAGTTTTGCCAGCACCATTTGCTGCAGACCATCCCTTCTCCACTGGGGCCTCCCAAGGCCAGCATTGTTCTTCCTCTCCTGCCCCTGCTGTTGCATGCTTGGGGACGCTCCTTGTTCTCCCAGCCTCCATTTGCTTATCTGTGAAATGGGGCTACTGGGTTGTTCAGAGGATTGTTGGATACAGGGCCTCATTACAGGACTAGCCTTCTCCCCCAGCACCTCCTTCAGCTACAGAAATCCTAATTTTACCAAGGCTATATATAGAGTGGCTCCCAAGTTCAAGTTCACCAGGATCATTATTGTTAGCAAAGTCATTTCCAGGGCCAAATGAGATGGCTGCTTTGGGTGTCACCTTTTCTTTTCCATTTTAATTAAGTCTGGCTTGGCCCTCAGCCCATCTACAGGGCAAACCAGGCTGCTGCGGGTCCGTGAGGCACCCATAGGTGTGGACCCAAGGGCCAGCTGGGCTTCGCTCACAGAGGCCCTGAGCCCAGCCCCGGCCAGTGTCCTTGGGGCTCACATTGCTCCGTCACATCTGCTTCTGCATCCGCCACCCCTTACAATGTCCTATTCCTGCACCATCACCTCCTGCCACCAATTAGGGCTCACTCAGAGGGGACAGGGCCATGGGTGCAGCTGTGGTGACCAGCCTAAAACACACTGATTACAGCTTGTCACTCGGTTACACACTGGCCTCCACCTGTTGGACTCCCAGTGCTCCTATCCCCAGCATGATCACACACGAGCTTCCCCCTGGGGCCTGTTCCTCGCCTGTACTGGCCCAGTCTGCCACAGCCAAATTATGAGAACGCTGCTTCCAGCTATCCAAGTGACACTGTGCCACACACCAGCCCTGCCTTGCTCCGCAATCCACTCCTGGGCCTCGGTTTCCTCATCTGTAAAATGGGCCACCTCTCCTGGCTCATGTTACTGGAGAGTGTGTGGGGTTGTGAGTGTGGCCACATGCATCCCCAGCCCCTTCCTACCCAGGTCACCCTGTCCCACGGCCTCCTCACTCCCCCAGCCACAGGCACGTCCTTCAAGTGTGTCAGCTGGTGGGCCAGGACCGACCCATGGGATGAAGCCTATTGCCCAGGGGAACTTCACAGCCATGTTCCCGGAGCTGCAGGACTCGGCCACTGGGATGGAGCTGCAAGGGCCCGGCGGGCAGCTGCTCACTCCTCCCCACTGCAAGTCAGACTGGAGAGCCATCCCCCTAGGTGGTCTTTGCACCCCTCATCCGTAACATATGCCCCCGTCCTGAGCTCTGTCACTTAAAAAAATGTCCCCCATAAACCCCAGGACCAGGGGATCCAGTTCGGGGACACACGTGCTTGTGGGCACGTCCTGGGAAGGCGTCTGGCTCCCACCCCAGCCCACACCCTCCCTGTCTGTCTAGGGACACTGGACTCCGGTTTCCAGGCACAAGCTTCTTGCCATCACCAACCTCCTGGGATGCCCATTGTCCCTGGGTGCTGGGGACCTTGCAGGGAGCCCCTGCACAGGCCCACCCTCCCGGAGCTCACGGCTTGATGGGGGAGACGCAGCCAGGCAGCTGGGGCAACATGCGGCAGGGGCAGCATCCCAGGGGAGAAGGGGATATCTGGGAGATGGGCGCAAGGAGACCCTCTGAAAGGCAGCAAACCCGGCCTGTTCTCCCCAGGAATCACCAGGGTTGTCGGGGAAAGGGATGAGGGTGGAGACCAGTTGGCACGAGACCAGGGATTGGAGGATGTGGAGGATCAGCAGCCTTGGGCGCTACTGCCCTGTTGACAGTGAAGGAGACCCCAATTCTGACCCTCCCCACAAAGTCCCGGCTCCCAGACTGCCCCACCCTGGGATCAGCCCTCCAGCACCAAGAACCCCCATCCTGGGCTTGCTCTCAGCACATTCCCCACCCTTCTGGGGCTCTGAGCACTGCCTGCAGAGCACTGGGAGCAACTGTCAGGACGGCAACGGGTGAACCACGGCCTGCAGTCAGAGTCAGGCCCTGAGGAGCCACCGGGAACCAGAAGCCCAGGCCCTGGCACTCTGGGCACCAGCAGGCACACCCCGTACCCCCCCACTCCCCGCTGGGGCCAGCACACAGGTCAGGGAACACTTCCGAAGTCCTTTATTGGGCCGGCAAGGCCAGGAGCTGCCCTTGGAGTGGGGGTCCCAGTCTGGAATCTTCAGGTCGGTGGTGTCCCTGCCTGTTCTGACCCGAGGCAGGCAGCCTCTGCTGACTCACTACTTGGTACGCGCCTTCACGTATTCCCAGCCCTCCTTGGAGTACTCGCAGGCCTTGGAGGGGGCCACTGACAGAGCCGAAATCACTGTGATGACACCTGTGGGAAGGGCACAGCCACCCGGTGAGGTCCCCTGCTCAGCTTTGGCCAAGCCCCAGGAAAAACTCTAGGTTGGCAAGGCTTTTGTAGAGGCATAACATCCAGCAGAGAAACTGAGGCAGACAACAGGCAGGGCCTTGTCCAAGCTCACAGGACAAGTTCCATAATGGGCTCCTATATCCCATTCTACCTGTCAACACAGCCCAGCCCTCTAAGGAGACTCCCTCATGGCCCCTCCCCAGAATCTCCACTCCTCTTTAGGTGGGAGAGACACACACATGGCAGAAACAGGGACGGATGGGAAGGAATGGCCAGGAAGCACAGAGGGTGCTAGCCTGGGGTGTCTGGGGCCACCTCTAGGGCAGAGGGACCAGGGGGTCCTACCTGAATTCCAGGAGTCCCGGATGGGGAAGTGAATCTTTGGAGGGGCTGGGAGCTGGGAAGAAAGACGGCCAAAACAGGCTGGTGAAAGGTGCTCAGGCCTGGGGATCAGGCCAGCCCCAGGGCAAAAGACACCAAGCAGGGCTGGAGGGACCCCAGAGCCAAACTCCCGCCAAGCCCTGGCCTCACTCCCAGCCGGGGATACCTTGGGTATTTGCAGGCCTGTCTGGTCACACACGTACTGGCTCAACTGGTACATGGCCGGGGGGACCACCTCCCCGGCCTTCCGCAGGGCTGCCTCGCTCTTGTCGCTGGGCCCCAGAAGCTCCTGATCGTACACCAGGTAGACGGCACCCCCAGCCACGCTGCCCTTGATGAGGAACCTGCAGGCAGGGAAGGAAGGGACAGAAGCTCAGTGGACACTGCTGGCCACCCACAAGGGTCTGGGCCCCCAGAGAGGAGTTAGACCCTCCTAGGGGCTCACGGTCCAGAGAGTGACACACTGTGGCACCAAAGGCACGCAATGTACAGTGTGCAAAGCTGGGCGACTTAACACCACTTTAACTGTCAAAGTGACGCCGGGAGAGGGATAGTGGGTCACTCCAAGTCCGAGAGCAGAGGACAGTGACGACTTTCTAGAAGCCCTCCTGCCTAGGTAGGGACGCTCCGCAAGCAACCCAGGGGTTATTCTAAGTGTTCCTGGGCGCTTCCTGTATGTCACTCGCTGCTCTGGGCGCGCATTAACCTCCCCATCACGGCGAGCGGCAGGTTTCACCGGGCGTTTCCACTTCACAGATGAAGCAACTGAGGCTCGGAGGGGTCGCCGACACCTTGAGTGGGACAAGGCTCGCTGGGGGGCCATCGGCGAACTCGCGAAGCCCCACCACACTTGAGCCTCAGTTTCCCCATGTGGGCCACGTGGACGGAGGAGCTGACATTATGGGAAGCAAACAGCAGGTCGGGGCCAAACCAGAGTGGGGTGCCTATAGGAGAGGGACGTCCCAAGACCCCACGCACCTCATCAGCGACCACACCCGGGCCACCATGGTCGCTCGGCTCCGCGCGCAAGGACACTAGACTCGCCCGCCGCTTCCGGTCGCGACGGCGCAGAGGCCTTTGGGAGATGTAGTCTTTCTTCTCGGCCGCAAAGGCCTCCGGGATTCGGAGTCTCGTTACGGCCCTGAGACGCCGTAGAAAGGCTGCGAAGGGCGTCTGGGAAATGCTCCCTTCCCCGGGCCGGGCCGCCGCAAAGCTGTCTGGGAAATGTAGTCGGCACCGCCCCGTGAACCGCCTGTTCGCGAAGCCTCCTGGGCAATGTAGTCAGCCCAGCCCGGTCCTGGCGGCGTGAGGGGAAAGAGGCGTCGAGTTTCTTAAGGGAAACCCGAGTGTGACCTGAGAAGATCTCGGAGCCCGAGAGATCCACCCGCGCCCGCGCGGGGGACTTAAGGCCCGGACTTCGGAAGAGTGAGCCTAGAAGGCGGGTGTCACGGCAACGCGGGGGCGGGATCGTTCTAGAGGGGCGGGCCCGGAGTCACGTGATCTCATTCGGGGGTGGAGCTTCCATCTAGAGCGAGGAACCGAGGCTGGGAGGCGGAGAGTCTCTGGGAGGCTGTTGCCTGGCAACGCTCGGGCGCGCGGTCTCCACGGCCTGGCCCCTCCCTCCCTCGAGGATGTGGGCTCGTAGTCACGTGACTCGGGCCAACCGGGAAGGGGGCGCGGTCCGGGACCCGGCCGGACGCGGCCTGGGCGGGAGGCCCGAGGGCGTTCGTGTGGTGCCCAGGCTGGGTCCCCAACCCCTTTGGTGGGGGAAACTTGAGTCTCGAGTGGGTGAGTGCGTGGCCGGGGGCTCGCGGCGGGCCACACGCCCCCTTTGTTCAGAGGGGAAGCTGAGGCAGGCAGGCAGGGGCCAGACCCCAGGGCTCTGGGCTGGGTGTGGAGCCTGGTCCCCGTCGGGCCGGGGAGAGCCCCGAGAGGGTATGGGGCAGGAAGGGGCACGGCCAGAGTTCTTACGACAAAGACCCCTTTGGCTGTGCGGGGACAAGAGGCTGCAGGGAACGGGTGTGAGGTGGGGAAGCCACAGTGTAGGTGGGGGTCCCGGGGGCCAGGGCAGGGGCCGGTCATGAGCTGGGAGCCCCGGGGACAGTGGGAGAGATTCCTGAGACAGAACTGGTGCGACCTGGGGCCATGGGGACGACGGATGGGAGGCCAACACCCGGGCTTGCCCTCCAGGGATGGGGTGCAGTGGGGCCATCCTGGCGGTGGTGGCCTGAGGAGAGGCAGGTTTGGGGTCAGATGCTGAGCCTGGGGTTCGTGGAGGATGTCAGGGAGCACGCTAAGAGAACAGCAGGGGCAGAGACTGTAGGGCTGGACCCAGAGATGGAAGAGTTGGGGACTCCCCAAGCCCACCACCTCCACCTGCTCCCTCAGTTCCATGGATTCAGGAACTCCCCCTGTCCTCATCCCATCGAGTTTAGGGGACAGAAACCCCAAGATATGATAGCTCTGTGCCCTTTCTGGGGAAGACCCATGACCACTGGAACTTTAAGAACCTGGCCTGTTTTTCTGTTTCACCTTCTCCCTGGAAAAAGTAAATCAGCTCCCACAGCTGAGGTCACATGTGAACCCCGATGACACAGGCCCCTCTGTCTCCAACCCCAGCCCTGCGTGTCCACCTCCTCCCTTGGGAGCATCTCCAGACAGAGCTGTCTCCCCGGACTCCCCCAGCTCTGACCTCCCACGTTCCTCTTATCACTGCATTGTCAGTCCAGTATCTGTTGAGCTCCTACTGTGTGCCTGGCACCGTCTGGGGCACTGAAGACCCAACAGTGAACAAAACAGAAGGAGGCGTTTATTTCCTTCCTGCCCTCACGGGGAAGAGCATTCCAATCAGGGGGAATAGCCGGTGCAAAGGCCCTGAGGCAGCATGGTGAAGAAGAGGCTGCTCTAGCAGAGCGGAGTGGGCAAGTAGGGATGGGCCACGCAGGGCCCTTTTGGCCATCCAGGAGTCTAGTTTTTCTCCTAAATGAATTCGAGAAGATTTTCAGCTGGGGAGGAGGCAAGATGTGATTCAGCTGCTGGGTGGAGGGAGCGTTCAGCCACAGTGGTGGCCTGGACAGATGGTGGCCGTGGAGGTGGAGAGCGGGGGGCAGGTCCATGGCAGGCAGCATCACCAAAGGCTCATCAAAGCCTGGCTGTGGGCAGGCCTGTGCTGCCCACCCTCTCTCCCGCTGCAGGCCCACAGAGGGCCATGAAGGTGCTGCTCCTCACAGCGCTGGGGGCCCTGTTCTTCACCTACTACTGGGACGACAACTTCGACCCCGGTGAGCAGCTGGGGGCTGGGAGGGGAAAATGGGGCTGGCCTCTCCTAAGGCTGACCCCTGCTGCTCCCTGCCAGCCAGCCTCCAGGGCGCCCGCGTGCTGCTGACAGGGGCCAGTGTGGGTGTGGGCGAGGAGCTGGCGTACCACTACGCCCGCCTGGGCTCGCACCTGGTGCTCACTGCGTACACCGAGGCCCTCCTACAGAAGGTAAGACCACCCGTGTCCAGTTGAATGGTGTGGGTGCAAGCGGGGGCGGGGCAAAGAGGGACTGGGTTTGCATCCCTGCAATGATCCAGGCGGCCTCTGTGACCTTGGACAAGTCGCCTAACCTCTCTGAGCCTCAGTTTCCTCATTTGCCAAAAGGGAGGCAAAGTACCTCCTCGTGAGTCACGGTGTTGTCCTGATGCAGTAGCAGGGGGTGTGGGGTATTGATAGTGTCGTGCTTGTGCCCATAGCCAAGGTTCCCAAACTCAAAGTGGGGAGGCACTTACTAGCCACGGCCTATTGCTGCTTCAAGGCAATGAACCGCTCTTGGGGACAAACCTTCAAATTTTCGAGAGAAGCCAGGACTCTGGAAATGTTGTGTTAGGGCCCCCAAAGAGGTAAAGCTTTGGGAATGACGTTGAATGGGACTCGAGGCTCAGAGCAGGGCAGGGCCCGGCAGGTGGAGGGGGGCCAGCTGGGGAGGAGAGGCCCACGGGCAGCTCTGGCCCCCCTAGGTGGTAGGGAACTGCCGGAAGCTGGGCGCCCCCAAGGTCTTCTACATCGCGGCGGACATGGCCTCCCCCGAGGCGCCCGAGCACGTGGTGCAGTTTGCCCTGGACAAGCTGGGTGAGGGGCGGGGCCTGGAGTCCAGAGTTCCGGACCGTGGCCTTAGGGGCAGGACCGGGATTGGGGTGCGGGTGTGATAGTAAGGGACGTCTGAGGGCGGAGACTTGTGGGGTCCGGGAGCGTGGCCGGGGTGGGGCCTCATTGCACCGGGGTCGGGACTCTGTACGGGGTTCAAAGCAGGGAGTCCTAGGGGCGGAGCTCACCTGGGCAGCTCTGGGGGCGGGGCCTCGCAGGGGCGGGGTTTAGGGCGGGGTTGATCGCGCCCAGCGGCGGGGCCTCCGGAGGTAGCCTCGGGCTGACCGGCCTTTCTGGGCCAGGCGGCCTGGACTACCTCGTGCTGAACCACGTCGGCGGCGCCCCGGCCGGGACGCGGGGCCGCAGCGCCCAGGCGACACGCGGGCTCTTGCAGGTGCTCCGCCCCCGCAGCGGCCCGGCTCAGGGATCCCTCCGCCCCTCGCCCGGGCCCCGACCTCCCGGTCCTGGCCACGCCCCTTCGGCCCAAGGCCCCGCCTCCCGCCCCTGACCACACCCCTCCCATCCGTGGCCAGGCCCAGCCCAAGGCCCCGCCTTTCTTTCCTTGGCCACGCCTCTGGGCGGTGCTCGGTCCTCGGCCCCGGCCGTCCGGGTTTCTAGGCTCCACCCTCTTCCGAGTCTAGGCCCCGCCCCGGGCTGCCCCTGCGCCCGGTGACTCGCGGCCGCCGCCTGCAGGTGAACTTGCTGAGTTACGTGCAGCTGACCTCGCGGGCGCTGCCGAGCCTGACGGACAGCAAGGGCTCCCTGGTGGTGGTGTCCTCGCTGCTCGGTGCGTGCGCTGCCTAGCTCCGCGGGTGAGCGGGGCGGGGAGGTCCACCCCCGGCGCGGGCGATCCTGGAGCGGGCGGGAAGGCTTCCCGGAGGAGCGCGGCCCGGTGTCGCCGCTCAGCTGCCGCCCCCGCGCCCCCAGGCCGCGTGCCCACGTCCTTCTCCGCGCCCTACTCGGCGGCCAAGTTCGCGCTGGACGGCTTCTTCGGCTCCCTGCGGCGCGAGCTGGACGTGCAGGACGTGGACGTGGCCATCACCATGTGCGTGCTGGGCCTCCGGGACCGCGCCCCCGCCGCCGAGGGCGTCAGGTGAGGCCGGGCGCGCGCCGGGGCTGGGCCGGGGGCGTGGGGGGCCGCCGGCCCCATCCCCACTGCGCCCTCCCGTCCCCAGGGGCGTCACGAGGGCCGAGGCGGCCCCGGGGCCCAGGGCGGCCCTGGCGGTGATCCGCGGCGGGGCCACGCGCGCCTCCGGAGTCTTCTTCCCGCGGCGCTGCCGCCTGCTGTGCCTGCTGCGGCGCTGGCTGCCGCGCCCGCGGGCCTGGTTCATCCGCCAGGACCTGAACGTCTCGGCCGCGGCCGCCGCCTGAGCCCCCGCACCTTCGGGGGGCGCTCCACCGGGCGCGAGCAGACGCGCCCCCGCGAGGCGGCGCAGCCTGAGCGCAGCCGCACCGCACGGGGTCCGCCGCGGGCGCCGCCGCCGGGCTAGGCCCGTGCCCGGGCTCGGCGGGCTCCGCGGCCGTCCCTGAGGACGTGTCGCTCCCTCCGTTTGCGGACGAGGAGACTGGGATGCAGGGATGCAGGCAGGTGGGCCACCTGCCGCAGGTCACGCCAGCCCTGAGCCTTCGCGCTGTCCCGCCGGAACCGAGTCCCTGGCCTAGTCTTCCCACTCATCCAACCTGGGCGCGCCCTGCCGCTGCCGGCCCCGCCGGGCCGCCGACACCGCGTGCCCTGACGGAGGGCGGGGAGGGAAGGGCGCGCTCTGGCTGGACCTGGCTCGCGTTTCACAATAAAAGTCTTTCTTGCCTTGCATGTGTGTCGTTCAGATTCCTCGGTCCTGCCGATTTTCTGGCGGCGGGCAGGGGCCGGGTGCGAGTGTGCCGGGCCGTAACCTGGGCCCATCTCAAAGATGGGGAGGTGGAGGCCGAGAGCGAGAGGGCGAGCCCGCTCAGGTCAGGAGGTCAGGGCGGAAGCGGGCCCGGGGCGTCCGTGGTTGGCGCGTCCCTAACAGCAGGCCCCAGGCCTGACTCCCACGACCCGGGGCGTCTTCGCGGCCGGAGGGGCGCCGCGGCCGCCTGCGCAGTGCGGAGGAGCGCGACGCCCGCTGTCCCCGTTCGCGCCAGGGCCGGGCTGTGTCTATCTGCGTCCGTTCCCTGGAGGCTGACGCGCAGTGCGGAAGAGCGCGACGCCCGCTGTCCCCGGTCGCGCCAGGGCCAGGCTGTGTCTGTCTGCGCAGCGCCGGCGTCGCGTCCGTTCCCTGGAGGCTGACGCGCAGTGCGGAGGAGCGCGACGCCCGCTGTCCCCGGTCGCGCCAGGGCCGGGCTGTGTCTATCTGCGTCCGTTCCCTGGAGGCTGACGCGCCGTGCGGAAGAGCGCGACGCCCGCTGTCCCCGGTCGCGCCAGGGCCGGGCTGTGTCTATCTGCGTCCGTTCCCTGGAGGCTGACGCGCCGTGCGGAAGAGCGCGACGCCCGCTGTCCCCGGTCGCGCCAGGGCCGGGCTGTGTCTGTCTGCGTCCGTTCCCTGGAGGCTGACGCGCAGTGCGGAGGAGCGCGACGCCCGCTGTCCCCGGTCGCGCCAGGGCCGGGCTGTGTGTGTCTGCGCAGCGCCGGCGTCGCGTCCGTTCCCTGGAGGCTGACGCGCCCCCCCTGCCCCCAGGCGGTAAGCCGGTCGCATAAAGAAGCAGCAGCGGCAAAAATGGGAACTGTCGGATGAGTACAGTTTTCTAGAAATAAAATGCTAGCTGCTGGGGGCCGTCCAAGACTCCAGCAGGTGTTAGAAGGGCTAACCCCATCGGGCCAGTCCCAAATTGAAACTCTCTTGGCGGCAAGGAGGACTGAAAGAGAGAAACCTGAATCTTTCGTTTGTTTCCACCACCTGATTCAAAGCTACTTAGCGTCCCATCCCCGCGCTACCGGAAATTAGATTAAGTGCCACCAGGGGGCTAGAACACTGCGTTTCTCAGACCTAGCCCAGAGCTTGACCCTATGCATAGGGTCAAGACGCCGGCGCAAGGTCAGCCAGCTAGTGACGGAGCTGGGATTCGAACTTTGTGTCTAGAGGCAGAGAGAGTCGCGCAGCCACGCCCACCGGCTCCGGCTCCTGGTCTCAGGCTCTCTGACGTGAATGCGCATGCTCATGGAGCCTGGCTGTGCATGCTCAGGGGGCCGCAGTGAATCCTCCAGCCGCCAGGGGGCGCGCTCGCCATCCCCGCCTCTCTGGCCCGCGCGTCCCACGGCGCGTAGATATCCCAGGGTTCCGCGCGGCGCCAGCCCTTCCGGCGCGGCCGCCATCGGGGACTCCAGGTGTGTACTTTCGCGCGCGGCCCGAATCCGCCGCCATCCGGGCCCCCGGGCTGCTGGGGCCCGTTGAGCGAGTTGGAGTATGGCTGGGCACGGCAGGCGAGCCCGGAAGAGCCGGGATGCGGGGTTCCGACACTCGGGGACCGAGCCGGGACTCACTTCCTCCCCGTCTCTCCGCAGCCGTCAGCAGCCATGGCTTTGCGCTACCCCATGGCCGTGGGCCTCGACAAGGGCCACAAGGTGACCAAGAACGTGAGCAAGCCGAGGCACAGCCGCCGCCGCGGGGTGAGTTCCGGGGCGCGCTGCCTAGGGCGGCGGGGTCGGGGCGCGGAGGCGCGCGGCCGGGCCGTCCGGGCTTCCTTGGGGAGTCGTGGCGCTGGAGTGGAAGGAGGGAGGGAGGGAGCCGGCCTTACCGGGCCAGCGCGAGCACGAACGCGCGCCGGGGCGCCCCGCCGCCGGGCCAGGCGGGCAGAGCGCCACTCTAGGGGGCGGCGTGTGCGAGCGGGGTGGGGGGTTTTTGGTCGTTTTTGGGCGGGGGCGGGACAGAGGCTCACTCTGTTGCCCTGGCTAGAGTGTCGTGGCGTCAGCCTGGCTCACAGCAACCTCACACTCCTGGGCTCAGGCGATCCTCCCGCCTCAGCCTCCGAGTAGCTGGGACTACAGGCGTGCACCACCATGCCCGGCTCGTTTTTTGTATATATTTTTAGTTGGCCAATTAATTTCTTCGTACTTAGAGACAGGGTCTTGCTCAGGCTGGTCTTGAACTCCTGACCTCAAGCGATCCTCCCGCCTCAGTGTCCCAGAGTGCTAGGATTAACAGGCGTGAGCCGCGGCGCCCGGCCGAGTTTGGGGTTTTGATGCATGAGGAGGAGTTCGCCAGTAGAACGGGAGCTGGGCCGCGGTTGGAACGGGGAGGGTCAGGTTGGGGGATTTCCGGCTTGTCGCGGCACCTTCGTTCTGGAGGCAGCCCTGCGTGCCTCGCCGGTGCCCAGTGTGGGGTTCCTGGCGCGGGGAACGGAGTGTCCTGCCAGTGTTGAGGACGCTGGGACTTGGGGAGCGTTTGCGCTTCCCCTGTGCGGACGGGGTGAAAGCTCCACCCGTTAATGCTTTCTGGATTCTCAGTTCCAAGTAAAGAGGAGTTACGCAGCCGGGGATACCGAGGCTCAGCAGTGAGGTTGACGGGGTGTCGGGAGGGTCGAGCGGGCTGGTCTCTGAGTCCCTGCCCTGACTCGCTGGCGTTGTCCCTCAGCGCCTCACCAAACACACCAAGTTCGTGCGGGACATGATCCGGGAGGTGTGTGGCTTCGCCCCCTATGAGCGGCGCGCCATGGAGTTGCTCAAGGTGTCCAAGGACAAACGGGCCCTCAAGTTCATCAAGAAGAGGGTAAGTGGGCTGCGGGCGGCCAGAACAGGGTGGGGGGGGTGGGCAGGCTGACAGGTGGCTTTCCTTGCCTGACAGGTGGGGACACACATCCGCGCTAAGAGGAAGCGGGAGGAGCTGAGCAACGTCCTGGCCGCCATGAGGAAAGCAGCCGCCAAGAAGGACTGAGCCTCCCCTCCCTGCACAAAATAAACCTTTCTAGACACACACGCCTGTGGCTCCGCTGTGGGTGCTGGGGCGGGCGCGGCTCGGGAGCCAGTGGTACTGCAAACGATCTTTAATCATAATTAAATAGCGTATGGGTGCAGACTCCAATTTAGCCTTAATTGAGGTCCCTTGCCTGAATCCAGGCCGTCTGGCTGAGCCCAGCCTCAGGCCTCCTGGCTGGTGGCTCAGCTGCCAAATCTGGGCGCCCATCCCTCGCACTTTGTCCCAGGCTGGGCCTGTCATCGCCAACAGCAGTCCTGGGGCCGCGGTCACCGCTCCACAGCCAGGGCTTCAGCCCGCCCCCCGGGAAGGGCGCTGTTGAGGGAAGGCGATGGTGAAGATCTCGCGGTAATGCTCCACGAAGTGCACCTCCAGGCCCTCGGTGATGAAGGCCGCCAGGTCGTAGAAGTCCTTCTTGTTCTCCGCGGGTAGGACGATGCACGTCACTCCAGCGCGTTTGGCCTGGCCAAGAGGGAGTGCAGTGCTGGGTCAGCCCTGCTGTCCTCCAGGGTGGACGGGCTCAGAGGGGCCTGGTGACACCCCCTGAGCACCAGGACCCACCACCTTCCCCATCACAGGCCTGGTCCCCTCGGCGTCCAGTTCTGGGTGTGCAGTGGAGACAGCTGCCCGAGTTCCGGGTTAATCACAGCAGCTGGTAGCTCCTGGGAGCTGCCATCCAGCACTGATGAGAATGCAACGCGCCTTGGGCGCCTGTGGGCACCCGTCAGGGCCTGTCCCCCTCTGCCCACAGCCCTCCACAACGGCCACCTCCCTTGGGGTCAAAGCCCAGGTTCTGCCTTGTCCAAGCACAACGCAGCCCCAGGGCTGCACACCAGTTAGGAACCTGCCTGCACAGGGCAGCAGCTCCAGCCCGCTCCGTGGACCTCGCCCTGTGCTGTCGTCTGGCAGGCCAGGGAGGGGACAGCCATGGCCCTGCTGGGTGGGCAAGCTCAGGTCTGAGCCCGGATGGGAAGGATGGACCACACCTGCTCAGCGTCCAGGGCCAGACCAACCTGCAAGCTTCTGCCCCTGCCTTCAAGGACCCTAGAGCCCTCCTGGGTAGCTCAGATGGAGACCTTCTATGGAAAGGTTCTAGAACATTCTCAAGTCTTTGTAAAGGCTGAGAATTGTAGAGGAGCAGACAGGGCAGTCAGCTCAGTAAGGGTTCTTTCTAGGTGAGGCAGCCTCACTTTCCTTATCTGCAAAATGGGCCACTTCCCTTCCTCTGCCCATCTGTGCTAAATAATAGCGCTGTGGATGGCAGCTAATGCCTGCCCCGTGACACGAGGACGGGCCACTCACTGCGATGGTCTTCTCCTTGATGCCGCCGACTGGCAGGATCTTGCCTGTGAGGGAGACCTCACCGGTCATGGCCAGGTTCTGCCGGACGGGCCGGTCCATGGCCAGCGACAGCAGGGCCGTGACAATGGTGCAGCCGGCACTCGGGCCGTCCTTGGGGGTGGCGCCCTGGTGGGGAGAGGCAGGTGAGCAGGTGGCGCTGGCACAGGGGCCACAGGTGGGTCATGGGAGGGACGGTCACCTCAGGCACGTGCAGGTGGATG